GTTGTTTGTGTGTGTGTGTGTGTGTTTGTGTGCATGTGTGTTTGTGTGTGTGTGCATGTGTGCTTTATTAGTGTGTGTGTGTGTGTTTTGTTTGTGTGTGTGTGTGTTGTTTTTTTGTGTGTTTGTGTGTGTGTGCGTGTGTGCTTTGTTAGTGTGTGTGTGTTTCGTTTGTGTGTGTGTGTGTGTGTGTTGTTTGTATGTATGTGTGTGTGTGTGTTTTGTTAGTGTGTGTGTGTTTTTTGTGTTTGTGTGTGTGTGTTTTGTTTGTGTGTGTGTTGTTTGTGTGTGTGTTTTTTGAGTGTGTGTGTGTGTGCTTTGTTAGTGTGTGTGTTTCGTTTGTGTGTGTGTGTGTGTGTGTTTGTGTGTATGTATGTGTGTGTGTGTGTGTTTTGTTTGTGTCTGTGTGTTTTGTTAGTGTGTGTGTGTTTTTTGTGTTTGTGTGTATGCGTGTGTTTGTGTGTGTGTTTTTTGAGTGTGTATGCGTGTGTTTGTGTGTGCGTGTGTGCTTTGTTAGTGTGTGTGTTTGTGTGCGTGTGTGTTTGTGTGCGTGTGTGTTTGTGTGTGTGTGTGTGTGTGCATGTTTGTGTGTGCGTGTGTGTTTGTGTGTGTGTTTTTTGAGTGTGTATGCGTGTGTTTGTGTGCGTGTGTGCTTTGTTAGTGTGTGTGTTTGTGTGCGTGTGTGTTTGTGTGTGTGTGTGTGTGCATGTTTGTGTGTTTGTGTGTGTGTGTGTGTGTGTGTGTGCATGTGTGTTTGTGTGTTTTGTTTGCTCTTTGAAGTTTAGAGTCCCTCAGTGCTGAAGTTGAGTTGAGTGTCCAGAAACAGAGCAGGAATCTGTTTGATGTGAGATCAGAGAGCCGAGCTGATGTTTATTAATGACCGTTTTAAAGATAACAGAGCTGAACGCTGGAGTCCTGTTAATATTCACAGATCAATATTCACCTGATTTATCTGCGTTCAATAATAAGTAAACGAGTACAGAACTTAATAACCCTAAACTGCTGTAAACACAACCTGAAAACAGAGAAAGACGCCACAACAGGAACTTGTACAGTAACAACTCTGAGCAGATTGGAGTGACACTCACTCACAGACAGGCTAGTGACAGCTCGCTAAGCTCCTCCCCCTCAGGGTCACTGTACACCTCCACCCACTGGTCAGCTGCCCTGGTAACCGTAAGTCCAATATGGTTCCTGGACAGGTTCTAGTTCTGATGGACAGCGGTTTGGTCAGCCGGGGGTGCATTAATGCATTTCTGTATTAAAGCTGCTTTCAAACCAAACTGAATTTGGAGTTTTGTAAATGTAGCTTGGGCGGTTTGTACTTAGGAAATAGCAGTAACTGTTCTTTAGCACAGAATGACCTCAGTGATCTGATTGATACTCTAATCAGAAAGTTCAGCCGCTGTAACTGTTTGTTTTGCTAGCTAACCCTGTACGTGTCTCTGACTTTACTGATGTAGCTCCAGGCTACATATCGACAGTCCTTACGTTCTGCCGTAATGTCAGTATATGAAGCAAAATGATGATGAAAATGTTGGTGAATCCATAGTTATAAAGTAAAAGCTGTTCAGCGATGCAGCGATTCGGAAAATTCATAATTCAGTTCGATATGTACGATGGCATCTCAGTTTACATATTTCACTACAGCAAAAACAAGGACCACCTGGAAATGGGCTGAGGTCATGTTAGCCCTGAGCTAACGTGCTAGCCATGAGCTCATATGTTAGCCCTGAGCTAACGTGCTAGCCACGAGCTCATATGTTAGCCCTGAGCTAACATGCTAGCCACAAGCTCATATGTTAGCCCTGAGCTAACGTGCTAGCCACGAGCTCATATGTTAGCCCTGAGCTAACATGCTAGCCACAAGCTCATATGTTAGCCCTGAGCTAACATGCTAGCCACAAGCTCATATGTTAGCCCTGAGCTAACGTGCTAGCCACGAGCTCATATGATAGCTACAATAACACGCCAGCCACAATCCGATACGCTGCACTGCTGCGTTCCTAGTAGCTGTACTTTAATTGTATTTTTAATTTCGTTGATTTATTATTATTATTCGTTGTTTTATTGTTTGACTCTCAGTTTGAAGCTCATTTCTGCACACACTGCAAATAATAACGCTTGTGTATTTGTGCTGCTGGTTACTGATGTGGGTGATGTTCTGTATGTGTTCTACAGGATCAGGGTATGAAGACCCCCTCTGCGGCCTCGCAGCAGTGGGGTTCGTATTTTGTGGACGTTCAGAGGGATGAAGGTGGAGAGGAGCGGCTCAGACTGACCTGGTGCTCCCACTGCATTCATACGTACAGCACCATGGCCATACCCAGCATAGAGGCTATCGCAGGTACACACACTGAACATGAGTGATGGCGGTAGCGTTAGCATTAGCATTAGCACAGAGGTGCTTTATGATCACTGAACCTTTACGTGGAGTTTTTATTTCTTTGTAGTCACTGAAGGTTCTTTACAGTCGCTCTGTTTCCTGATTTCAGATTTGCCTCTGGATTATAAATTCCCGCGGTTTTCCCCGGATAAACCCAGCACTACAGGCTATTACCCCCGACCCCCGGACACACTGTTGAAGAGAGAGTAGAACCAATCCTGAACCCACACATGCTGAAAAGGCACTGACAGTGTGTGTGTTACTGAAATGTGAAAGAACGTGTGTGTATGTGTTATGGAATATAGCAGGACTGATTCTGAATGTTTTCACATGATTGAGGTTCATACTTGACCAGCCAAATCCACCCCATTACTATAGAGCACAAAACTCACCCGTCACCATAGAACCCTAACCCGCCACATATTATAGAACCCAAACTTCCTCATCGCTATAGAGCACAAAACCACCTGACACTATAGAACTCCCCCATCATTACTTAAGAACCCAAGTCCACCCCATTACTACAGAACCCAAACCCCCCACAGCACTATAGAACTCAATCCCACCTCATTACTTTAGAACTTTAGAACTTAACCCACCCCATCATCATAGAACCCAAAACCACCCCAGCAATACAGAAACCCAATCCCACCCCAACTCCTCAGTGCTGCTGTGAAACTGTGTGTGTGTGCTGTTTAGTGTTTCTCATCCACAGTGCCAGTGAACCATACCGAACCGCACTGACCCGCACTGAACCATACCGAACTGTACTGACCCATACTGAACCGTACTGAATAGTACCAAACAGTACTGATCGGTACTGAACCGTACCGAACCAGTACTAAACCAGTACCAAACCAATACCAAACCGTACTGAACTGTACTGACTTGTACCAAACCAGTACCAGTACTGAACCGTACAAACTGTACTGAATTACTACTAAACTTGTACTGAATTGTACTGAACCGTACTAAACCAGGACTGAACCGAACTATACTTTAATGAAACATATTGACCCATACTGACCTGGACTGTACTGAATTGAACTGTACTGACCCGTACTGACCCAGACTGTATTGACCTGTGCTGAACCATACTGCCTGGACTGTACCGAACCGTATGAAACCGGACTGTAGACAACCTCGAATGGACTGTGTGTGTGTGTTATTTTTTACAGCACCTCACACTGAAGATTCTTTAATGAAGTGTTTAAAACGTGATGTTAGTGATCATTGGCTTCTTCTATCTCGTGGTTGTTCCTGATTGGCTGTTTAAAGGTGTAAAGCTGCTCTCATTGGTGAATGTGTCGGCTCATCATTCCTGATCAAACAGCTGAATGTTCAGGCTTTTCTCTCGCAATAAGATTAGATTGTAGTGTTTCAGGAGCCCAGACTCAGACGTGGAGAGAGAACACCATCAGTGTATCCATCACGCTCCATCGTCCAGTGTGTCACAGTGACTCTGTGTGTTTCTAGGGGGTTTATCTTGTTTTTAGGGGGGATTTTCCTTTGAGTATTTCTGAGGCTGTATGTAATCCTCCAGATCAGACGACGGGGTTCCAGCCTTTTAAAGTCTGTTCTGTTGTGATCATCGTGGTGTTGTACTGTGTGTAGAGGAGTATGTCCATCCAGCCGTCTGTGCAGAAATAACCGTCCAGAAATAAAGATGTTCTCCTGCAGTGCAGTGTCTCTGTGTCTTTCTTCACTTAAAGCCGTAGTTCTGCAAAACATGCACAATATTTACCTCATTCTGAGCAAAGTCAGTCAGCCAAGACATGTTTGTCTGAAGTTTGCTTATTTAGTTGAAGCACTGGACATATGAGGGTAAATAGGTAGTGGACGCCTATATCCCACCAGTTAGCATGGTGCTAGCTTGCATCAAGTTGTCAAAAGCGTACTTATCTGTTCCCACAGAAACTGCACAGCCAAGCAGATACAGCCCTGCTATGCTCTGACCCCAAAGTACACATGAGCACTGCCTTTGTCCTAATATTCTCACTAATTAAATAATGTAAAATATAACTAGTTAGCCTTAGCCTTGCTGAACTGAGCCCCTCAGAAACCATAGCCCCTTCGGTTAGCTTCAGATAAGTCACTAAGCTGCTATGCCACCCTGGTATGATTGGTTGGATGCTGGTGGTCCACATAATTCGTTTTTTCTCCTGTTTGCAGACCCTCCGGAAGCCACAAAGAGCAGATTTTTCTCCTCTGAGTGCTAATTGGTGGGATATAAACTTCCACTACTTGTTAGCTTCATTAGCCTCATAGCTCAAGTGCTAAAACTAAAGAAGCAAACTTCAGACACCAAACATGTCTCGGCTTATCCGCTACATTTGGGTTGGGTTTTGGGGGGGGCAGGGGCGGGGGCAGTGGTATGTAGGGGGGTGGTGAATTTGCGGAACTGTATTTCTGGCTAAACTGTAACTTTAAAACTGAGCTGGAGAGCCGTGCATTAGTTTTCTTCATCTTTAGGTGAACAATCGTTTCCCACAGGTCAGATTCCACAGGGCAGTAATGAAGGGAATGAAGGGAAGTCTGTTTAATGCACCCCCACCCCCCCCAAAAAAACACCACCCCCACCCCCGCCCCTCCCCCCAGGTTCCTGTGGGTTCAGGCTGCTGCTGAAGCTCTCAAACTGAACCTGCAGGAAGTCTTCAGTCTTCATTAGAGGACCTGAGTGAGAGCAGCTTCATTACCGGACTCCTGCTGCTGTCAGATTTGAGGAAACTTCATCTCTTCCCTTTCTTTGTCCTCCTTTCTCTCTTCTTCCTCCTTTTTGGGCTCTTCCTCCTGACTCCCCGCCTCTGTCTGCTCTCGGAGGAAACTTGCGGTTTTATCTTCACACCAGCTGGTCAGTTCTACACCAGGTAAGACCGTAAAACTCTCAGACAGCTTTAGATTTGATTTAAGACTTTAAACTACAACACTGCTGTTAAAACAAGAAGATCTTAGCTGTGTGTGTGTGTGTGTGTGTGTGTGTGTGTGTGTGTGTGTGTGTTGGAGAAAGTTGGGGTTATTATAGTTTGCGTCACAAGAGCTCATTTTCTCCTGGAAACCTTCATACCAGTTTAAAGTTCCAGTGTAAGCTCAACCGTCCTGACCATAACAGAACCATAACTACACCTCAAACTATATAACTGCATAACTACATAACTGTAATCTAACTAACATCCCAGTAACTGTAACTATAATCTGATTTTAACTATGAATCTAATCTAGTGCAGCTCTAGACAAACTAATAACCCGAATCTAACACTAAATATAACTAACATTTTCATTACTTCATACAAAACTCGTCTTTATCCAGAGTCGAGCTGCTGGCAGGCTGGAGTCTTTCCATTTAACGCCATTTGGTTTAAAATCTCAGTGAAACCAACTTCAGTAGTTCTATAGGATTTTCTCTCTCTCTCTCTCTCTCTCTCTCTCTCTCTCAGCGGTCAGTCTGCTGCTCTCCCCTCATCTGGTTTTCTTTAAGGGTTGAAATGAATCAGGTCTCCAAAAATGTGTGAGTGCAGCTCGGTCTCGCAGGGTTTATGAGCGCTTTACCTCCTTAAGCCTCCACTGTAGGACCATGTGTGCCTTCAGCAGGAATGCAGGGGTCAAAGGTCACAGAGTTTCTCCTTCCTCTAAATGCAGAAGAATGTGTGGATTGTAAAAACGAGTGAAGTGCTGAGGCGGAGGGACGCGTGGAAGACGCCATTATGCTCCATTTTCCACATTAACTCCCGCAGAGTGAAAGTTCAGGACTGTTTACTCACAGCAGCCTGTTTACAGCCGAAACCGCGTCAGAGCTCTGGAGGCAGCGATTCCCCCACACTAATTATGAAATGTTGGGATCGATTAAAATCAGCTGTAAGAGCATTCAGTAAAGGATGTGTTCATCTTTTGGCCAAAATCTTTAAAGCTCACAAAAACAGTCTGATGTATTAAAATGTGAATGTGAAAAAGTAAACATTTCCTCGAGTCTCTAGATGTTCAGGCTGTTTTAATAATCCTGAATTGTGCCAAAATAATCAACTGGAATCACTGTGAAATTTCATGATGCACTGAATTGTAGGACTGAGGCAACCGAGGTAGGAATGAGGCAGGACTATACTAATTGGGTTAGAGTGGGGTAATGGTGTAAGAGCACTCTAACAAGGTAGAGTGAAGTTTGGAGTAGAAATACACAACAAGGTAGGGTGAGGTATTTTGGAGTAGGAGTACAGTAATGAGGTACAGTAAGGTAGTTTGGAGTGGGAGTGCAGTAACGAGGCAGAGTGAGATAGTTTGGAGTGGAGTAAAGTAATGAGGTAGGGAGAAGTGAGGTAGTTTGTAGTAGAAGTGCAGTAACAAGGTAGAGTGAGGTAGTTTGGATTGGAGTACAGTGATGAGGTAGTTTGAAGTATGAGTGTGGTTAAAAGGCAGAATGAGGTAGTTTGGAGTGGAGTACATTAATGAGGTAGGGAGAAGTGAGGTAGTTTGTTGTAGAAGTGTGGTAGCAAGGTAGAGTGAAATAGTTTGGAGTGGAGTACAGTAATGAGGTAGAGTGAGGTATTTTAGAGTGGAGTACAGTGATGAGGTAGGGTGAGGTAGTTTGGAGTGGAGTACAGTAATGAAGTAGTTTGAAGTATGATTGCAGTTACGAGGCAGAGTGAGGTAATTTGGAGTAGAAGTTCAGTAATGAGGTAAAGTGAGGTAGTTTGGAGTAGGAGTGCAGTTACAAGGCTGAGTGAGGTAGTGTGAAGTGGAGTACAGTAATGAGGTCAAGTGAGTTTGGAGTAGGAGTGCAGTTACGAGGCAGAGTGAAGTAGTTTGGAATAGAAGTGATGAGGTAGTTTGGAGTAGGAGTGCAGTAATGAGGTAGAGTGAGGTAGTTTGGAGTAGGAGTGATGAGGTAGAGTGAGGTAGTTTGGAGTAGGAGTGATGAGGTAGAGTGAGGTAGTTTAGAGTGGGAGTGATGAGGCAGATTGAGATAGTTTGGAGCAGGAATGCAGTAATGAGGTAGAGTGAGGCAGTTTGGAGTGGGAGTGATGAGGTAGTTTGGCGTGGGAGTGATGAGGCAGATTGAGATAGTTTGGAGCAGGAGTGCAGTAATGAGGTAGAGTGAGGCAGTCTGGAGTGGGAGTGATGAGGTAGAGTGAGGTAGTTTGGACTATGAGGTCTTTTCTCATGTCAGCTCTGTTTATGGTGGCAATGTTTCCTACAATTTCTGTTTTCCTCTCTTGGGAGAATCTGGGTTTCTGTTTGAAAGATCAAACAGTTCAGTGAATGATCAGTTTTTGTATGAATGTTACTCAGAATTGTGGGTAACCAGGTCAGAGTGAAAACCCAAATAACTGCAGAGCGATTTTAGCTACTTGTCCATTCTAATAATGACCTTTACACTGTATTATACAGAGCAGTGCTGCTGTTCAGTGTGTGTGTGTGTGTGTGTGTGTGTGTAATGATGAATCACTGGGAAACACTAATCATCTGAGTTAAGTGTGTGTATCTGTGTGTGTGACTGTTTCTGTGATTGTGTAAGTGTGTGTGTGTGTGTCAGTGTGACGCTTTCTTCATGTTGGTAACGTGGCAGAAATAAAATCTCGCAGTGCTTGTAGAGAAATTCACAGAGATGATTACCATCATATTTAGCTCTGAGCTGCAGAGCTGACCTGCATTCAGAAGGGCTGAACATTATGATTAAAATGATTTAAATTCAGCATGTGTAACAAAAATATTATGTATGAAGTTTAGGAAAAATCTAAATGAAATTAGTTATTACACTGGTTGTCATTTACGAGCTCTATAATTATCTGAAATCTATCTTTATTATGATCCAGGTTTTGTAGACATGCTGCTCAAACCACCATATACTCAGAAAAGACCATCATGATGGAAATTATCATAGTAGTCAAATTATAATGTCATACAGCCTCTTTACTAATGATAATAATAATGTAGTTTATGTGTTGTATGTCATATTTTCAGTGTTGCTCTGGATTAGTTTGATTACATTAAGCTCCATTTTTCTCTCTCTGTCTCTGTATCTGTCTCTCTGTATCTGTCTCTCTCTCTCTCTCTCTCTGTCTCTCTCTCTCAGCTGAGGGCAGTGTGATGTCCGTCTGATGCTACAATGAGTTCGTACACTCGTGGAGCTCCTACGGTTTTCTTCATAAACTCACTGTGGTTGCTGTTGAGGCTGGTATCGGCTGGGGTCCGAGCTGATTCTGATCCAGGGGGATTTGTCCCATTTTTGGGGGGTAACTATGATGGCCACCCCATGCTGTATTTCAGCCGTGAGGATGTGGAAGGCCTGCAGGGGGTGGCACTGAGCTCGCACCGCCTGCTGGCCCAGGGGATCCGCGAGGCTGCGGAGGAAATGCTGGAGCGACCGGAGGACTACCTGCCCCCCTGGAGCCCCGCCCAGTTCAGCGCCCGCTGGAATGAAATCTACGGAAACAACCTGGGGCTCCTTGCCATGTTCTGCCTGCTGTACCCGCACCGCACCGGAGCGCTGGACATGGCCCGCGAGTACATGGAGAGGATGGCAGCTCAACCCAACTGGTATGGCAGGGTGTGTTTTGGGGCTGCAGCTAACGATTTATTGTTAAATCAATTAATTTAAGTTTTTTTGACCTCCTCAGTTCTTCTGTCCTGGCGTGGTGACCATAGTGCTCCCTCTGTCAAGCTGGTCCACACTGACCACATCAGGTCCAGGTTATATCAAGTACCATTTAGCTACTACGGTGATAGTAATGAACTACCAAGCTATCTAGCTATTTAGCTTTATGTGTTTAGCTGATGTCCTCGTTGTAATGTTGACATCTCATGTAATGACGGGGCAGTGGCTGAAGTTTCCCTGAAATACAAGGTGTTCTGGATGTCCAGGACCCCCAAATGAATCTCTTGGACCCCCTGAATGTCTCAAAATCAAAATTCGGGGGATCACTGGAAATAAACTCATTCTGACATTATGCTGTGTGTTAAATTCAGTGAAGCTGATTGTTTATCTGCTTCACCCACAATCAGCTTCTGTCTCTGGTGTTCTTAACTAACTAGAGCTGCAGCACTGCTCTGCCTCAGGGTGGCGCTGCAGCTGACCAGTTCACCCAGTTGGTTCTTCATAGCCTAGGAACTGTAACTCTGCCCGGATTCCTCTAAAAAAACCTTTACAATGAGCTGCAGCAGATCTGTAAATCTGAAAACTCAATCAGTGGAAAGACTGAATTGTTATTTATTTTTCAAACTGAAGAAAACTGCATTACTGATCTAGTCAAGGCACGAATAGTTAAACGAACTGAAAATCAAACATTTAGTTGCCACTGAAGCATCAGCACCGCTATGACGAGTAAGTTAGCAGCCAGGTAACACTGCAGTAGCCAGCCAACATGGGACCCCCAGATAACATTGCACACTGGTTATATACAAAATTTATGTAAAACATAAAATAATCCCAAATAACTAATGCTTTGTCCAACTATACCTGCCCAGAAGCCCTGCTTTGAAATGGATTAGCCATTAGCCATAGTCTTTTTGTGACAGCCCAGAGACAACCTGCCTTCCCAGTTCCTCACACGTACAGCCAGTGCTGCAATTATAACAGATTCATTTCATTTTCTCTAAGTACAAATGTTCTCAAACAGGATGAAGTCTTTAGAAAAGGGGAATAAATGGAACAGCAGTGGAGGAAAGAGGACCATAATGAACAGAACAACACTAAACTCAGAGTTAGGGGAGGCTAACTTAGCTAACAAACAAAAGAAAGGCTAATACAGTTACTGTGCTAACTTCCTAACTAAAGCAAACCAGGAAAAAAACAGAGATCGAGAGATTATTTTCGAGAGTTATGTCCCAGAGCAGGCGCGTTAGCTCAGTTAGATCAGTGTTTACAGGACACTTCAATGCTTTATCAACACACAATCTCAAAAAGCCAGAAACAAGGCACCAATAAGCTACACTAACGTTTGAGCTCTGACACAGACGCAGCTCTGTAACTTAAGTTCTGTCAACAACTGGTTGGGGAACCGAGAACACAGTGAAACTGTATCAGAAGCAAAGCACCACAGCTTCTTCCTGAAAGCTCCCCCACTGCTGTCTGAGCTGTGTGCTGCCCAAATAGCCCCCCTTTCAGCTGATTAATTTCCTGTATTGCTTTTGTATTGTTTGTATATCTTTTATGATGCAGTGAAATAATAGAAACCAGAAAAAAACAATATACGTCGTGTAATGTATCACAGTCTGTCAGAATGATCTTGTGGCTGATAATCTGTGTAGACTAGAAGTAGAACTGAATGTTCTCTGAATTTAGAACATTTTTAACACAGAAAACATCCAAAACAGAGAGCAGCAGAGACTCCAGCAGGTCTAGTTATCACAGCCTCACTAAGAGGGAGAGACAGACGGTAACAGAGTCATGAGGCTCCCTGAGTGAGTGCGTGAGCAGCGGGACGACGGCACCAACACTCCCAGTTTACCATAATACTCTATGACCATGAACCCCAGATCTGCACCTTTTATCTAACAGGGAAAATGAATTACCAAAGGCTCCACTAAACAAGTGGGTTTTTAGCCTAGACTTAAAGACTGAGGCTGAGTCTGAGTCCCGAACACTGACTGGAAGATTATTCCAAAGCTGGGGGGCTTTGTATGAGAGTAATGTAATAAGAGAGAAGTTCACTCAGGTACCGAGGGGCCGTTTAGAGCTTTATAGGTTAGTAAGAGAATTTTGTACTGGTACAGTCTGAGGGCAAAAGGTCAGGAACTCAAACCTCCTGTAACAGATTGGAAGCCAAAGAAGATGAGAAGGCAGGATGCAAGCGCAAGCTAGCAGTTTCATTGTTGTGTATGGAGAAGGTAGCAAAGGAAAAAACAGAAACAAAAGAAAAGCAAAATGAATAAAGTACTAAAGAAATGAAAAGAATCACCAAAAGCAAAGAACAGAGAAAAATTACACAGGAATAACAACTCAAACAAAGAATCAGCAAAACACACTACCAACAACACCATGCCAGGAACAGATCAACCCAAAGGGAATAAATAGACAAAGAACACATGAGAAACACCTGATGCTAAGACAGGTGGGACAGATGATTTGGGTGGAGACACATGAAACAAGACACACAAGGGAAGATAAGCAGGACAGGACAGGATGTTACACCTCCATCCGTCTGTGTCTGTGAGTGATTCCTTTTTTTCATGACAGTGAAACAGAAGCCATATCGTCTTTACAGGTAGTGTGAATATGAACTGATTTATCTGATTTATCTGACTAATCTGTGTAGAATAAAATTAGAGCTCTGTAGAACATCCTGAAAATCAGAGATCAGTGCTCTTCTCCAGCCTTTATATACAGAACTGAGTAAAATTTACTAAGCAAAAAAAATCTACTTGAATGTAAACTGATCTTGGGACAGTGGAGCTAAAATACTGTTTCTTTTTATGTTTTAGTCACATCAGCACTTTCTATAACATTTCCACATAAGATTAGACTTCCTGCCTCAGTGCTGATCTGTTTCCTGTTTACCAGCTCTACTGAAAGAACAGTTCCTCATTCTGTATCTGTCTGTGATGGATGTTTTAAAGGGTCTAGATTAGTGCAGGTGGATGTTGGAGAGGGTCTAGATTAGTGCAGGCGGATGTTGGAGAGGGTCTAGATTAGTGCAGGCGGATGTTGGAGAGGGTCTAGATTAGTCCATGTGGATGTTGGAGAGGGTCTAGATTAGTCCATGTGGATGTTAGAGAGGGTCTAGGAGGGTGAAGAGTCCATAAGAGGGGTGGGAGGGGTCGTCCACAATGCTGGTGGGCTTACGGTTGAAGTGAGGTCATTGGTGATGAGCTCACCAAGAAAGCTTCTGACTCTCCACAGTTGCACCAGTGATGTGCAGTGGAGGGTGATCACTGTGGCTCTCCTGAAGTCGACAATCATCTTTTTTGTCTTATCAACATTCAGACATAGACTGTTGTCTCTGCGTCAGACTGCGAGCTGCTCCACCTCCTCCTATGACTTGTCATTGTTGTTAATCAGACCCACCACTACAGTATCATCAGCGAACTTGATGATGTGTTTTTAGCTCTGTTTTGCAGCACAGTCATGAGTCAGCAGTGTGAATAGCAGGGGACCGAGCACACGGCTGGGGAGTGCCAACGTTCAGTG